AATTTATTAGCGAGTGTAGAGAAATCTGGAGCACTAGCCATAAAGATAGAAAACTGATTTTGAGAGGAGAATATGCAGACGAGAGAATTTCTATGGATGAAAGGGAAGGTGGTTGCAATAATTCACATCAATGCACATAATTATACTTGTGTTGTGATAGACACTGCATATGGTAGAGGTCGTGTGGGGATAAATAGCAACATGGCCATCAGTGTTTCTCCATTACAATATCCCATCTTTCCTGGGTGAAATTTAAAAACAAGTCATTCAGGATTGTGATTCACCTTCAAAACGAGGGAGAATATGCACTTAGGAAATGAAGTTATTGTATCAGGATACAATTATCTCGTACCCATACAGGATACATATTAGGATATGTATCGTATGACAGACTCACAGCATCGTTATTTGTTACGTTATGTCTTATACAGCAAAGTCTGGAACATGAGCAACAATAAGTCGAGTCCCCAAATACCTAGAATCAGGTCGGATATTGTAACCTAATTAATCCACTCTAGACAGCCGGGTGACAAACAGGGTAAATATTGTCAAAACCAATCCATATGCAAGGATATGACTCCACACTAAACAGTCAGGTGACAAACAGGGTAAATATTGTCAGAACCGATCCATAAACAAGGATATAACTCTACACTAAACAGCCGAGGGACAAACTGATGGTAAATATTGTCAGAACCGATCCATATGCAAGGATATGACTCCACACTAAACAGTCAGGTGACAAACTGATGGTAAATATTGTCAGAACCGATCCATATACAAGGATATGACTCCACACTAAACAGTCAGGTGACAAACTGATGGTAAATATTGTCAGAACCGATCCATATACAAGGACATGACTCCACACTAAACAGCCGGGTGACAAACTGATGGTAAATATTGTCAGCACCAATCCATATACAAGGATATGACTCAACACTAAACAGCCGGGTGACAAACTGATGGTAAATATTGTCACCACCAATCCATATACAAGGATATGACTCCACACTAAACAGCCAGGTGACAAACTGATGGTAAATATTGTCAGCACCAATCCATATACAAGGATATGACTCTACACTAAACAGCCAGGTGACAAACTGATGGTAAATATTGTCAGCACCAATCGATATACAAGGATATGACTCTACACTAAACAGCCAGGTGACAAACTGATGGTAAATATTGTCAGCACCAATCCATATACAAGGATATGACTCAACACTAAACAGCCAGGTGACAAACAGGGTAAATATTGTCAGAACCGATCCATATACAAGGACATGACTCCACACTAAACAGCCGGGCGACAAACTGATGGTAAATATTGTCAGCACCAATCCATATACAAGGATATGACTCAACACTAAACAGCCGGGTGACAAACTGATGGTAAATATTGTCACCACCAATCCATATACAAGGATATGACTCCACACTAAACAGCCAGGTGACAAACTGATGGTAAATATTGTCAGCACCAATCCATATACAAGGATATGACTCTACACTAAACAGCCAGGTGACAAACTGATGGTAAATATTGTCAGCACCAATCCATATACAAGGATATGACTCTACACTAAACAGCCAGGTGACAAACTGATGGTAAATATTGTCAGCACCAATCCATATACAAGGATATGACTCAACACTAAACAGCCAGGTGACAAACAGATGGTAAATATTGTCAGCACCGATCCATATACAAGGACATGACTCCACACTAAACAGCCGGGTGACAAACTGATGGTAAATATTGTCAGCACCAATACATATACAAGGATATGACTCTACACTAAACAGCCAGGTGACAAACTGATGGTAAATATTGTCAGCACCAATCGATATACAAGGATGTAAATATTGTCAGCACCAATACATATACAAGGATATGACTCCACACTAAACAGCCGGGTGACAAACTGATGGTAAATATTGTCAGCACCAATCCATATACAAGGATATGACTCTACACTAAACAGCCAGGTGACAAACTGATGGTAAATATTGTCAGCACCAATACATATACAAGGATATGACTCCACACTAAAGAGCCGGGTGACAAACTGATGGTAAATATTGTCAGCACCAATCGATATACAAGGATATGACTCTACACTAAACAGTCAGGTGACAAACTGATGGTAAATATTGTCAGCACCAATCGATATACAAGGATATGACTCTACACTAAACAGCCAGGTGACAAACTGATGGTAAATATTGTCAGCACCAATCCATATACAAGGATATGACTCTACACTAAACAGCCAGATAATAAACTGCTGGTAAATATTGTCAGCACCAATCCATATACAAGGATATGACTCTACACTAAACAGCCGGGTGACAAACTGATGGTAAATATTGTCAGCACCAATCGATATACAAGGATATGACTCCACACTAAACAGCCAGATAATAAACTGCTGGTAAATATTGTCAGCACCAATCCATATACAAGGATATGACTCTACACTAAACAGCCAGGTGACAAACTGATGGTAAATATTGTCAGCACCAATACATATACAAGGATATGACTCTACACTAAACAGCCGGGTGACAAACTGATGGTAAATATTGTCAGCACCAATCGATATACAAGGATATGACTCTACACTAAACAGTCAGGTGACAAACTGATGGTAAATATTGTCAGCACCAATCGATATACAAGGATATGACTCCACACTAAACAGCCTGGTGACAAACTGATGGTAAATATTGTCAGCACCAATCGATATACAAGGATATGACTCTACACTAAACAGTCAGGTGACAAACTGATGGTAAATATTGTCAGCACCAATCGATATACAAGGATATGATTCCACACTAAACAGCCAGGTGACAAACTGATGGTAAATATTGTCAGCACCAATCCATATACAAGGATATGACTCCACACTAAACAGCCGGGTGACAAACTGATGGTAAATATTGTCAGCACTGATCCATATACAAGGATATGACTCCACACTAAACAGCCGGGTGACAAACTGATGGTAAATATTGTCAGCACTGATCCATATACAAGGATATGACTCCACACTAAACAGCCGGGTGACAAACTGATGGTAAATAATGTCAGCACCAATCCATATACAAGGATATGACTCAACACTAAACAGCCGGGTGACAAACTGATGGTAAATATTGTCAAAACCAATCCATATACAAGGATATGACTCAACACTAAACAGCCAGGTGACGAACTGATGGTAAATATTGTCAGCACTGATCCATATACAAGGATATGACTCCACACTAAACAGCCGGGTGACAAACTGATGGTAAATATTGTCAGCACCAATCCATATACAAGGATATGACTCTACACTAAACAGCCGGGCGAAAAACTAATGGATAATATTGTCACCACCAATCCATATACAAGGATATGACTCCACACTAAACAGCCAGGTGACGAACTGATGGTAAATATTGTCAGCACCAATCCATATACAAGGATATGACTCAACACTAAACAGCCGGGTGACAAACTGATGGTAAATATTGTCAGCACCAATCCATATACAAGGATATGACTCAACACTAAACAGCCAGGTGATGAACTGATGGTAAATATTGTCAGCACCAATCCATATACAAGGATATGACTCAACACTAAACAGCCAGGTGACGAACTGATGGTAAATATTGTCAGCACCAATCCATATACAAGGATATGACTCAACACTAAACAGCCAGGTGACGAACTGATGGTAAATATTGTCAGCACCAATCCATATACAAGGATATGACTCAACACTAAACAGCCAGGTGACGAACTGATGGTAAATATTGTCAGCACCAATCCATATACAAGGATATGACTCAACACTGAACAGCAGCCGGGGGACAAACCGAAGGTAAATATTGTCATCAAATGCCATTGATGCTAAACAAACCATCCCTACCAACCCACAGTATCTGTCCATGAGGCTAAACAAGCGACTGGGCACCTGTTCCACAAAGCAAGTCTCACACTATCTGACTGTCAAAAGTCAACACATGTGTGTTAAGATAACCACTCAAAATGATCAGCTCCTTTCTTTCATAATACTGGAGTTAATCTTCCATGGCATGGCTGACCAACTACAGCAATAGAGAATCAGGTGGTCCTTACATTCTTTTGAGGAGTATACCTTTGAACCGTGATGACTTTGTGGAACAAGGACCAGGCCCCGATTTCTCGAAACAAACTTAAGTTTTTACTCAAATTTCAAACTGAGTTTGACAATTTGAAACAGCTGAATTTTTAACTCAACTGCATTTTTTAACTTAAAAAAGCCCAAACAACTTAAGTAATCTATCCACCAAACTCAAATTGTCTGCTAAGTTTGAGTTCAATATTGATTTCAGTTTATTCTGGGAAATGCATTTTCCTGCGTTTTCTCAAATTTGAGTCAAAACTCAGACTTAAGTTTGTTTCGAGAAATCGTGGCCAGGTCACAGCTCTTCCTGGGTGTACAATCCCTTCTCTAAACCAGTCACTACAGATATCGGAATGGTCCCTTCACGAAAAGCACCAGGTGATCAGGACAGAAGCAGAGCAGCCCTTAACATAGAACCTTCAAAAGCCCTAGTTTGTGTTGGGAATATTATAGATGTTATTTTAAGAAGTTATATATTGCACATTCACATTTTGCAATTAATTCAGTAGAACAAATATGGCCAGGTGTTAAACAGGTTCCAAATCAGTCTGAATCCTCCAAAGGAACAAGGAACCCATCGTGATTCTTTGAAACGACAAGATACCACTAATTTTAATTCCTATTCTTGTTTATACAACAGATGCTTGATGCTTGAGTCTACATAAGGAACTGCAACATGTTCTCTTGTGAAAATTGTATGATTTCATAGCAATATCCAAAACCAACTGAGATGTCCAAATTATTTGACTGTGACAGTATACTAAGCAGAACTCTGTGCCCTTTGGAAAAACGGACAAGCTTGAACGTGCAGTGAAGTTGACTGAGTCTGACCTGTAGAGACTGGAATGAGAAGTTGCTGTACACCGAGGGAGCTGGCCGCCGCGGACGCTGCTGCCGCCTGCCCCTGAACGGCAGCTGCCTGCGCCGCTGCTTGACTTGCCAGGAAGAACTGTGGTGCTGCTACCTGGGGCTGTCCAAGAAGCTGGGTCTGACTCGATAATGAGTGGATTGCACCTACACGATAAAAAGTCCAAATATCAACAGGATCATCGCAAGACAGGCTCTGGCAAAAAGATAAAAATGTCAAACTCCGACCCAACCATAAAAACTCATTTCTTCAATTATTGAGGTGTTATGAAAAAACAGAAAGTGTACCAAAGACATGCAGCTGTTCTTGATATTTTAATTACAAAATAGTAATCCAGACGAGCTAAATTTTCATAGTCTGAATTATAACATATTTGAACTATAAATAATTGATGGGAAAAAATGAGATACTGTCTAAAAAACTTAGGGTTTGTTGAAAATTTGACTTCATCATCGATGTTACTGAGCAAGCATTTGAAAAAATATATTTGATAAAAAGTATGAAAAAATAAATGGAATAGTAGTAGTAATAGCCTGGTTAGTGACGTCAAAATTGTAGACAAGTAGACAAGAAGCTGTTGAGCTGTTTGCTGTGGCAGGTGACATGTTCACATCCTTCAGTGAGTTTAAAGTGAAACCACGATATATTTATCGAGGTATTTGTTAATCCGGGCAGCAATTATTCATGGAACAATTTACCACGTGATCAGCATCCCACAATGCACGCAGAAAGTTCATGAATGACCTTGACCATAGATTTTTGTAAATATCCACTAATGATTCAGTGAATCATTTTAGGTGACTTCCAAGATACATTTGACCTTGACTTTGCAACTTACCATTTGCCTCTGATTTGGCGTCTGTGACCGAGGATGTTGTGGATGTGTCTGCTATGGAGGGTACGGACATGAACAAATGGTCGGAGAGACCCAGAGTGCCGCCTGACGCGTTGGGCAGCGATACAGAGGGCATCGTAAAGACTGACGACACAGGGGCCAGGGGGGACTGTGTGGTGGTAGCTGATAGCATAACATCCTGAAAGATAAACATGACATACAGGAACATTGTAGACACTGGTTGCTGAGATATAACATACAGTAACATTGTAGACACTGGTTGCTATGGTATAACATACAGTAAAATTGTAGACACTGGTTGCTGGGATATAACATACAGTAACATTGTAAACACTGGTTGCTGGGATATAACATACAGTAACACTTTAGACACTGGTTGCTACTGTATAACATACAGTAACATTATAGACACTTGTTGCTGGGATATAACATATAGTAACATTTTAGACACTGGTTGCTATGGTATAACACACAGTAACATTGTAGACACTGGTCGCAAAGATGAAACATACAATAACATTATAGACACTGGTTGCTAGGATATAACACACAGTAACATTGTAGACACTGGTTGCTATGGTATAACATACAGTAACACTGTTGACACTGGTAGCTAGAAATATAACATTGAGTAACACTGTAGATGTTGGTCGTTAGGATATAACCTAGAGTAACAGCTTGTGACTGTCACCATAATGCAACACTGTTGACATAGGTTGCTAGAAATATAACATTGAGTAACACTGTAGACACTGCTTGCTAGGTTATACCCTAAAGTAATACTGTCGCCATAATGCAACACTGCTCACACAGGCTGCTAGAAACATAATAATAAGTAACACTGTAGACACTGCTTGCTAGGTTATACCCTAGAGTAACACTGTCGCCATAATGCAACACTGCTAACACAGGCTGCTAGAAACATAATAATAAGTAACACTGTAGACACTGCTTGCTAGGTTATACTCTAGAGTAACACTGTCGCCATAATGCAACACTGTTGACACTGGTTGCTAGAAATATAATATTGAGTAACACTGTAGACACTGCTTGCTAGGTTCTACCCTAGAGTAACATTGTCGCCATAATGCAACACTGTTGACACTGGTTGCTAGAAATATAATATTGAGTAACACTGTAGACACTGCTTGCTAGGTTATACCCTAGAGTAACATTGTTGCCATAATGCAACACTGTTGACACTGGTTGCTAGAAATATAATATTGAGTAACACTGTAGACACTGCTTGCTAGGTTATACCCTAGAGTAACATTGTCGCCATAATGCAACACTGTTGACACTGGTTGCTAGAAATATAATATTGAGTAACACTGTAGACACTGCTTGCTAGGTTATACCCTAGAGTAACATTGTTGCCATAATGCAACACTGTTGACACTGGTTGCTAGAAATATAATATTGAGTAACACTGTAGACACTGCTTGCTAGGTTATACCCTAGAGTAACATTGTCGCCATAATGCAACACTGTTGACACTGGTTGCTAGAAATATAATATTGAGTAACACTGTAGACACTGCTTGCTAGGTTATACCCTAGAGTAACATTGTCACTATAATGCAACACTGTTGACACAGGTTGCTAGAAATATAATATTGAGTAACACTCTCGCTGATCACAAGATGCATACTGAAAGAGCGACTCTGTTTTACATTGCAGTCAAAAAACACGAGAGAAAACAACAACATAAACACAGAATGTCTTCAGCAAATTAATGTTTGTTAAAAGAGGCGTCTAACAGGACTGGTGGTCAGGCTTGCAGACTTGCTTGATTCATGTCATTATATCATAAGTAAATAGACCGATGCTCATTATGTCAATCACCAGATGTTTTACAGAGCGCTAGAATTATTGCTGAATACAGAGTTAACAAACTGGAAAATAAATTTCTCTATGGATGCAATCAGTGAAACCCACAGACAAGTCTAGTGTGTGTTTATTCAGGCTGGGATGATAGTACCCACGTGTTTGTACCTCAGGCAAGTCAGCATTAATATTTAATAAATCCTCGCACAGGGATGAATATTTTATGTCCCAGCAATCATGTCAACACACTAACAAAAGATTACTTCCTGACATAATACCTTCTCTGTGAGAGCAAAACCACAGTGAGAACTAGTCGATATGCAAACAACATGGCCGACAAGTCACGTCTGCTGCATATGACAGGCTGATCTACCACAAACACATCTTCAGTCATACTTGGCTACCAGGGCAGACTGGAGCACAATAGACATGATAGAGCTTGCCAATATTTCAGAGCTTGCTGCCACCAAATGACTGAGCAACTGTGTACAGGAAGATGGTATCTAGAATATTGTTGGAAGCTGATTATGTGTTTGTTGAACATGTTCCGTGATATGGTAGGAAGCCAGGCCTTGCTCAAATGCAGATGGATTCTACGTACATGAAAAGTGAATGTTCAGTCAGAGAAACAATTATTCTAACAATTGCATCGCTCTACCACCATGATTGACAACAAAAATGTTATCTAGTCATGAAGACTGACTGACTGAGTTTAGTTTTACGCCGCTTTTAACAATATTCCAGCAATATCACGGCGGGGGACACCAGAAATGGGCTTAACACATTGTGCCCATGTGGGGAATCGAACCCGGGTCTTCGGCGTGATGAGCCAACGCTTTAACCACTAGGCTACCCCACCGCCCCAAGTCATGAAGAAGTTTACCTGCTGCTGAAAGGGAAATAATTATGGGAAGAGAGAGAAGTATATGGGAATAAACATATGTGATATTAAATTCATCGGTTTGGCGTTGGAAATGATTTGTGTCAAGCGCTATTATCGTAATAAACTGACACCTATAGACTACAATCTGTCCGTCATTCGAGAAGGGCAGAGTAAGTACAGGGTTCAAATTTCAATTAGTCTGGATCTGTATTCCGTCTTATGGGATATATACAGGCATAATATAACATGGTTAATACCGATCCTGGTGAAACTTTCAACTGCTTCAAACATCTCTGTCCACACATCCACCCAAGTTACTGTGTCTGACAACCCAGTCATTAACCAGATGGGTGGTGGGGTAGCCCGGTGGTTAAAGCGTCCTGAAGACCTGGGTTCGAATGCCCACAATATTGGGTAGAATGTGTAAAGCCCATTTCTGGTGTCCCCCACCATGATATTGCTGGAATATTGCTAAGAGCGGCGTAAAACTAAACTCACTCACTCAGTATTAGCCACTTGTTACGTGGGACTGTCTGGAACAATTCTACCCAAGAATTATCATCAGTTTCAGAATCCATTTATGTAAAGAGAGAATGAATTGACACAAGCGGAGCCAATCCAACAATTCTTCAAAGATTCTGTACGTCATTGTTTTTATTCCATCTATAAAAACTTCCATTCTCACTCCCTATCAAAAACAGCTTGTTAAATTTTTTACATGATTTTTTTGTGTCCACAATTGTAACATGTAGTCTATGAGATAATACTATCCGGCTATCACTGTCAGTAAAGCGCTAACGAGGGTGAACCATCCACATTTGTACTAAAGACAACAAAATCAGCACCCAATCAATTTTGTTATTGATGAGCCTTTTCCTTCACTCCTTCCCCCTCTCCAATTCCAGCATCTCATGCATGTGTTCAATCTTGCGAAATTGACACTGTCACATTTCTCAATAGCTCAAGAGTCGGGGACAAAACCAGCACGTATTGATTGGGAAAGCCATCTCCGACTGTCATTCAGTGAAATGAAAGATACATTATTTTACAGGGTTGCCTAGCAACTCTTGACAAGGGAAGCCAGGGGGAGTATTTCCACAAATTAATGGAAGTAGTTCTAACTTAAAACTGAAACAGTAGTTGGCAAGCAGTACCTCACGCTGTCAAGAACTCCATCCTTCATACGCAACAAAACGACAGCACAGAACTTCTTGTGTGTATCTTAGCTATAGATGATGGAGAGATAAACATACACACTTATGTCAGTATTCACGACATTTCACCCCTGTAACATTTGACACGAGTCGCCTATAAATTGCTGAAACAGACACCCTATTATACACGTACGACAAAAAAAGTCGATATTTAGATGGGCCAAATGAGCTGACTGTAAAAGCTAACGTAACAAATGCAATTGTGGTAGAGAGGTTATTTCTAAAACACGCGTCATAACTGTGGTAACAAAAAACCCATTAGTATCACCCTGGTTATAATTGGATCCATTAAAGAATAAAAGCGTACATCAGGGCTCATATTTATGGTCTTCCTGATATAGCTTCGAAATGGGCGAGAGTGCTTTGACATGGAGTTAATAATGTATGAAGAAAGTGCACATTTTATCAAGTAACGAGTGCCGTGGTTGCTGAAAGTGATAGTTATACCCATGACCATTATACAGAGTTATTGGTCAGTGGGAGAATAAGACTGTGAGTGTGTATGGGAGATAAGATGGATAGTGCTTTGTGAGTGAGTGAGGGAGTATAGTTTTACGCGGCTTTTAGTAATATTCCAGTAATATCATCGCGGGGCACACCAGAAATGGGCTAACACATTGTACCCATGTGGGAAATCGAACCCGGGTCTTTGGCGTGACGAGCAAACACTTTAACCTCTAGACTACACCAGCACCCCTATACTGCTTTGTGAGACCGAGATATCCAATAATATTAACTTGAGCAAGCCAGCAAGTCGAGGATATGTGAGTGAAGACAAATGTAGCACTAAAAACTGATGGAAGTCTAGAGTGAGTGAGTGAGTGAGTGAGTGAGTAAGTGAGTTTACGGGTTAGAATTGATCTTCAGTAACCCATGCTTGTCGTAAGAGGCAACTAGTGGTATCGGGTGGTCCGGCTTGCTGACTTGGTTGACACATGTCATCGGTTCCCAATTGTGTAGATTGATGTTCATGCTGTTGATCACTGGATTGTCTGGTCCAGACTCGATTATTTACAGATCGCCGCCATTTAGCTGGAATATTGCTGAGTGCGGCGTTAAACAACAAAACAACCAACCAATCATGTTACAATCAAACAATGTGTCATCTCTCAATGTATGAACATTCCATCACTGATGTTGCCAACAGCCCCCTACAGATCCAAGGAGTCTATTGTTTTGTTATTATGCTCATTTACTTCAGAAGCAGATGTTTAGAGCTCTGGTGAAACACTACGGTCCTTACAGACCAGGGAGG